CCCACTGGTCTGCTAATTGCCATTGATTTGGCCTATAATCTCCACAGGTAAGAAGAATTATATTTTGACTTGGCTAAAATAAGCTATTCAATTTTTACTTGACCACACAAATAATTGGAAATGTCATTCTGAAATATATATACGCTTTTTGAAATTTCAATTAAATTGATTTGAAGGCACACATGTGCGTAGCTTGTGCACATATTAAAATTTAGTTTCTTAAAAAACTCGTCTCAACTTTGATATTAGTTATTTATTATTATATCTATGTGTATATATTTTTTTTAAATTATTACAGTGCATATGGCAACTGGTTCCCTGGCTGCAAGCCCCTCATACAACAGGCCATGGCGAAGATAATGAAGGCAAATCCCGCTCTTTATGTACTAAGGGAGAGAATAAGGAAAGCTCTCCAGTTGTACTCATCAGAGCCTACGGAGCCTTACCTCTCCAGTCAGAACTATGGAGAGCTGTTCTCTAACCAAATTATTTGGTAAGCATTAAAAATAAAATAATAATTTATTTAGTTGTAAATGAGAGAATTACATTCGCGTAAAGCTTTTAATAAGATTTTTTATAAAATAAATTACAATGTTAAAAGAAATTAAAAACACAAGTAAAACTAGAACCATTAAAAAAATAAACATACTTGATCAATAATTTTTTTTGTTTATTCTACACACACACATGTTTATTATCACACCGTAAATCCAATTTAACAGACACAAAATATTACTTACTAATTAGACTAATTTATTTGAATTTGTAATTTTTTATTAATAACTAGGAAAGTAAATGTTTAATGAAGTGTATCTTTAATAGGTTCGTGGATGACACAAATGTATACCGAGTGACCATTCACAAGACTTTCGAAGGCAACTTGACCACGAAACCAATAAACGGCGCCATCTTCATCTTCAACCCGCGCACGGGACAGCTCTTCCTTAAGATTATTCACACTAGTGTATGGGCTGGGCAGAAACGTCTTGGACAGGTAAATTATTAAGATTAATATAAATATTTTCGTATAAAAGTTTATACACTTGTCCCATAAAGATATTATTTTAATTATTTACTTTTCATACAGCTCGCTAAATGGAAGACTGCTGAAGAAGTAGCTGCTTTGATTCGTTCCCTACCCGTTGAAGAACAGCCTAAACAGATCATTGTCACAAGAAAGGGAATGTTGGATCCACTAGAGGTAAAAATTTATTCAATTAAAAAGAATTTTTTAGTACTTGCCACTGGAATTTAGATTTTAACATATGCTAGTTCTTAATCCTATTCTAAGATGTAAATTATTTATTATAGGAGTTATTGAAAAATTACAAAAAAAGAAATCGATAATAATACACCATCGTTTTTTTTTCTACAACTAATATTATTTATTTTCACCTATGTTTTGAAATAATAAACTACCTTTACCTTCAACAGGTCCACTTGCTTGATTTCCCCAACATTGTGATAAAGGGCTCTGAGCTCCAACTGCCATTCCAAGCGTGTCTCAAAGTGGAGAAGTTCGGTGATCTCATCCTGAAAGCCACTGAACCGCAGATGGTCCTGTTCAACTTGTATGATGATTGGCTAAAGACTATATCTTCTTACACTGTGAGTATCTTTACTACTTCTAACTCTACTTGATAGAACATTTTTATTAGGAGCTCATAATTAGTATAACCACAACCAAAACGGCGCGTGGTAATCTATTTGGTGTCAGGTGAAAATAAAGACAAAATGATTACAACTAATTTAAAAAATTAATTATTTATAAATAATTCTAATCATAAACAATTCAATTAGATCAATGTTTAAGAATTTCTATTAATTCTCCAGGCCTTCAGTCGTCTCATCCTCATCCTACGAGCGTTGCACGTGAACACTGAACGTACAAAAGTCCTCCTTAAACCAGACAAAACAACGCTGACGGAGCCTCATCACATTTGGCCCACGCTTTCTGACGATGACTGGATCAAGGTGGAAGTTCAGCTCAAAGACCTTATTTTAGCCGATTATGGAAAGAAAAACAAGTGAGTAGTATTTTAGCAATAAGCTGTGTAACAAGCTTTGATCAAGTGTTTCGTAAAGAGCCAAATAACGTGTAATACATTGAATTTATAGGTGCGCGAGAGGCGAGCACCATATAATAATAGTTTTTAGGCTAGGTAGTGGCCGCAGTGGGAAGACAAAGAAAACTTCTTGACTTTAAAAGTATATAATAATGATAACAGCATATACAGAAGGAACGAAGTTGAATGAAAATAGTTGTAGTACAATTAGAAAAAAGAAATCACAAGAAAGTACAAGAATAGATAAATTATACGTCACTAAGGGATAGTTCCTAAATCGCGCACGGGTTTCGCCTTTGACAGTTCTAAACGCACTGCCCGCTGGTCGCGCTGCCACTGGCTGCAGGCTCCACCCACCGCGCCCGTGTCGTCACACATAGCGGTAAAATCACCGACGCGGTGGAAAAGAGGAGTGATATTATTGTTCCCCACAAATTCAATTATTAAAGACGAGAAGTTTTTGTTTATTGTGTATATATGCCAATGTAGAATTGTATATTACATTAATATTATATATTCTCTATATATTTGTTATAGTGTATTAAATAATTGTGCACAATTTGTTATGGTGTTCAGAGCAATACTAGGTTGTCTCTAACAATTCAAAGTAGAGTTTCATCTACGTTCTATAATTTTTGCCATTAATTGTAAGATATCTAAATAAAACTGTAAACTATTTTAGCGTTAATGTGGCATCGCTCACCCAATCGGAGATCCGTGACATCATCCTCGGTATGGAGATATCGGCGCCCTCTGCCCAACGACAACAGATAGCAGAGATAGAGAAGCAGAGCAAGGAGCAGAGTCAGCTCACTGCCACTACCACACGCACTGTTAATAAGCACGGAGACGAGATCATAACTTCCACCACCAGCAACTACGAGTCGCAGACCTTCAGGTAATGATTATCTATACTTTATTCCAATCAAATGCAGAAATAAATCAAATGCTGAAATGGTAGTCAAAACATACTAACTTATCTGTTGAGTATAGTCACAGCATATGTTCGTTTTTATATCAAATTAAATGTATTATTTGATCAGATGAAAAAATGATATCATTCTTCTACAGTTGTTTTTTAACCATACTAGGATAGTATTGATCATTTAAACCTGCTATATGACTCATGAGTCAACCACTTTAAAAGTATAGTTTAAACTTACAACTTATGTTTTTAATAAATTATTATTATGTAAATAGTTTTTATAGCGCAGATACTCATTTTATCATTTGCTTACATTATCTTATGATTGAATAAAATTATGAGGTCAAATGATTCCGACATTAATATTAAACCTGCTTTTTTAGTTCAAAGACGGAATGGCGTGTGCGTGCGATATCGGCAACGAACCTGCATCTACGTACAAACCATATCTACGTGAGCTCTGACGACATCAAGGAGAGCGGCTACACTTACATCTTACCAAAGAACCTGCTTAAAAAATTCGTCACTATCTCGGATTTGAGAGCTCAGGTAATACTAATATAATATTATGAGAATATGGAGAAAATTAGATTGTGGTCTTTAAAAAAGAGATCTGTTCATGGTTTGTCACTTACTAAAAAACACTTAAAATTAACTGAAGATTGCAAAATAATGTTATTTTCAGATCGCCTGCTATCTCTACGGTACATCTCCCCCCGATAATCCACAAGTGCGCGAAGTCCACTGCGCGGTACTTCCCCCGCAGTGGGGTACTCACCAGACGGTTCATCTTCCTAAACACTTGCCCAAACATCCGGCTCTTGCGCACTTGCAACCATTGGGATGGATGCATACACAACCTAATGAATTGCCACAGTTGTCGCCACAGGTAAGATAAGATGAACTTGCTTGATAAAAATTATTTATATAAAATCTTTTTTATTTACAAGAAACTTGAGACTTCGCAAATGCTTGATAAACCTAATAATTATTTAAAAAAAATTCACTTTTTAGGACATAACAGCACACGCCAAGGTAATGGCTGACAATCAAACATGGGACGGTGAGAAGACCATCATAATCACGTGTTCGTTTACACCCGGATCGTGTTCGCTAACAGCGTATAAACTGACACCTAGCGGATACGAATGGGGGGTCAAGAATACTGACAGGGGAAATAACCCCAAAGGTTACCTGCCAAGTCATTATGAGAAAGTTCAAATGTTGCTGTCAGACAGATTCCTCGGGTACTTCATGGTGCCATCACAAGGCAGTTGGAATTATAACTTCATGGGTAAGTTAGCTTTTAGAACTATTTTATTCTGAATTTAGTTCAGTTCATCAGCTTTGTTGATGTAGCAATTTGAAACTCTACATTTTAAATTATACAAGGAATAAAACTGATTTTTTTATTTATACAGGTGTCCGTCACGATCCCAACATGAAATACGGCGTACAACTTGGCAATCCACGTGAATTCTATCACGAAGTACACCGACCGGCTCATTTTATGAACTTCGCGGCGATGGAAGATGCTACTGCACCGGCCATAGCGGCTGATAGGGAGGACCACTATGCTTAAATACCAGTTTTCTGTGGTTTTTTTTAAATATTCAAATTGAAAACTGTAAATATAAGAATAAACTTTACAATAAATAATGCTTGTTTGATTGAATACTGTAAATACGTCCTTCACCTATTTCGCTAACTTTTGAACCTGCCTTAATGGGTTTTTTAAACTCAAACTCAAAATAACTTTGTTCATATAGGTAACCAAGTACACCATCACAAGACCGTCATCAGAAAAGTTGTTTATTAACACAATGATGTCTAAACCTAAAAGGGTTACAGTAGTGAATTAACCCTTTATAAGGCAGAAGAAACGACAGGACATGATAAAATAAAAGTTTGTGATATGGAAATGTTAGTATCAGAGTTTTAATATTTTACAAAAAAAAATTTGAAAAGTAAAAAAAAATTATGGTGTCCATTATATGGACAGCACCTTCCTAGGTTTGATGAAAATCAGCAAAACATGGTACTGCACACAGAGCAACTCTGCATCTGACACACTCTATTTTAGATTTTTTGCTGTTGCCTTTGCTGCTGCAGTAGCGGCATCTTCTATACTTTGGCAGTTCACCAGGGAGATGGGTACCAACATCTGCTAGCCTCAAAGTTTCAGGTACACCATAAACAGTCTTTTGCCTGCTGTCAGGGGTTGGTCTTTTTGTGACAAAAGTAGGTAGGCTGTTGATCGTCCTCTTCCTGCTTGTGTAATTGTCTACCAAGTTTCTCCCTAGCATAGTTCGGAACTGTAAATTAGTAACAGGATAACGAACTCTTGAATTCTGCGTATAGAGAATGTATGCGTTGGTAATAGCAGCATCTATGAAAAAGTAGAAAATGCGCATCCACCATCTACGGCTTCGTCTTGCAACAGGATAGGTTCCCCGTTTCTGATCAAATCTATCTACGCCGCCCATTCGCTTTGTGTATTCCAAAATGCCCATTGGGCATACCACTGCTTCTTTACTGCCATCCTTTTGAGTCCTATTGCAAGTAGCTTTGTCTTTGGGGAAAAATGCTGTGCTCAATACATAGACTGGCTTAGTGTCCATCCACACAAACGCTCCAACATTACCATTTACTCTCCACTTGAACTGTCCTTTCTTAAGTTTCAGGATAGGTTTCCTAGGCTGCCCTTTTTTGGCTTTTTGTGGTTTTATTCTCTGCGGTAAATTTGTTCTATTCGGTCGCACTGTTGCTGTTGCATATATTTTTTGTTGATATAAATCTTGTAGGAGTTCAGTTGATGCAAAAAAATTATCAAAAGCAACATGCACATTTTCTAAGTTTTCATCAATCAATTCTTTACAAAGATTTTTCACCACTGCTGCACCTAATCCAGTTTCAGATTCATTTTCTTTCTTGCCTGTATATATCTCAAACTCAAATAAATATCCGGTCTGACTATCGCAACGAGCCCATACTTTGAACCCTCTCTTCACTGGTTTTTTTGGCATGTACTGTTTGAGTGTGCTACGCCCCTTAAACTTAATCATACATTCATCAATACTTTGTGATGCTGTATTATTGGCACTATTTTTAAATGCTGTATTCATGAGGCTTATCATGGGTTTTATTTTGTAGAGCTTATCAAAGCCTGCTTCTCCTCGTTTAGGCATGTTTGTGTTATTATTAAGATGAAGGTTTTTCAATATTTTTTTAAATCTTTTGCATGTCATGATGTTTGCAATTTCATCCACTCTAAATAAGGGGTCTGAAGACCAATATAAATCAACATTGGGAAGTGGATGAACCCCCATTAGAACTAACATTCCCAAAAAAGCTTTCATATCAGCTATGGTAACATCCTCCCAGTCTTTTTGCCTGTTTTGAGATGCATACAAATTTGTTTGCTCAAGAATATGATTTATTACCTCTTGTGAAAAAAAGGAGCTAAAATATGCTAAAGGACTTGACCTAATTGGGTAAACTTGTGATGGTCTGAGTGGTCTGCCATCAAAACTTTCTATTGGAGGAGTATGAGGATAAAATACTTTTTTCCAATTCTCATCATTTTCATCTTCTGTGTCTGACATATCATCGTGGAAACCTCGCCGTCTGTTTCGCAGGGCATGTAGTGATATATTGCACTCTGGATCTGAATCCAATTCACTTTCTTCTTCAGGCGCAATAGGGCCCATAGGGCTAGGCAAATTCTGATTAATGACGTGGTCCAGATCAGGTACATTAGCTGCACAGTTTGCAGGGTTGCCTTCGAGAACATCTATTAGCTCTTGCTGAGTTGGCTCCACAAAAACTGCTTCATTTTCGTTCTCGTCACTCTCACATCCGTCTTCCGAATTTTCGCCATCCGATAAACCAAAATATTCATCTATGTAGCCTTCTAATTTATCCAAAGGTATCACCTACAACAAAAATATCATTGAAATCATCTCTCCGAAAATAAATTATTTTTTCTCCAGAAGGGCTCTGTCCAATATATGGACACCATGATTTGACTAGATTTTTCCACAAAATCGAATTGTGAATCACAAAATAAATACATAAATATGGAGTTAAAGATATTTAAGACAAAATCTTATTTAAAATTTACCTTTTGATTGGCCATTTCCGAAGATTTTTTTAGATTCACATCAGCAACAGAAAAACACCCACCTGATTCTGACACATGACATTCACCTGACAGAAATGACGCCATCTTACTTTTTTTTCTTCTAATTTTCGTTCAGTATTAAATCCTCAGACGACAGACACTAAAATTCGTTTCATTTGTTGCATATTTTCAAAAATTTGGAACGGAACGTATGGTGTCAAATATATGGCCAGAGCCGTATAAAGGGTTAAGAGTAGTAAGAATTCCATAGCCTTAGCATAGCCACACCTTGCCGTGTGAAGGTCATAGCCGTCATACATTATACTAACGTTATGTAATTATTGTACCTTGAAAGGTTTTTTATTTAGAGTGGTAGACGTGCGTCGTTCTCGAGTCGTTCAAAGTTTATAATATATCCGCATTTTATCAAAATCCAATAGTCAATACCTTACTCTTACCGCGTACGTACGTACGCGGCTTAGTCTAGACTCACTTTGAGTTCACAGTGATGTGTGACTGACGACTGTTTCTTAAAAATCAGAAAGGTTTATACCAAATAGAGTTTATTAATTAGTAATTTACAGTCTATGGAAGTATATTTACTGTGACTTTCATTTCTTAAAATTTGTTGTCAATTTGACAGTGACAATAGTGGCTGCCTATAGTTCTTGTTATTTCCATTTCCCCGGGCATTTGCAGTTTCAAGTTTGGGTAAAACATTATAGAAGAACAACTAGATAATTTTTAAAATTGTTAACTGCTTATTAATCCGTGTGTACTGATTTTATAAATACGTCGTACATATTACATATGTTACATCAAAATGGGAGATCATGATGACTTTGAAGATAGCCAATTCCCTGATAACGACGAGTTTGTACCGTACGTAACGGCCGGTAACCTAGCACAAAGAAATGGAGCAAAAGTTACCCTCTGGGGTAAAGTTACTAAAGTATCTGCAAGTGAAGGCTTCCATGTAAAAACTGTTGATGATCAAGAAGTTCTCATAAGATTAAAAAAGCCTCAAAACGAGCCACTGGAAGGCTGGTACGAAATTCACGGTGTGTCGCAAGGAAAAAGTATACTATGTGATGATTACGTGCCATTTTCGGAGGAAATGACTAAGAATATTGATACTGAAAGTCAAAAAGCTCTAGCAAAGCTACTTGCTGCTCTAGATGATCCTTGGAATCTTGGCGATGATAGTTCTAGTGGCCTACATGGTGTTACAGCGATGGAGTAGATCTTAAGTAACTTTATAGGTTGATTATTATTAAGGGTTTATTCAAAATAAAATTTTCTTTGGTTTAATCTTTGTTAATTAAAATCACATCCTTTTTTGTAAATACATATCAAAATATAGGTAGCCTTAAATAAGATAATGCATATTTTAATATTAGAAGCAATAGTTCCTAAAATGATAGCTCTTACTACCAACAATTGACTCGAGGGTATGACTTAAGTCCACCTATTTCCTTGAGCCGTTGCTTCTCTAGTTTCAGCCTCTGTTCATGTAATACAGCATTTGACAGAGCTCCTTCTATACATGTCACGGGGCGATTTCTAAAAACATTAAACACTAGTCAAAACAATCTATATTAAAAGTAAAGCAGAGTAATGTATTTTTATTATAATCAGACTTTTCAGTCTGTCAAATGTTATCACATTTGTTGCTTAAATCTAAAAATCATAAAAAAGTGTTGAAGTAAACTTACAATACTTTCCCATAAGTAGTTTCTTTATCAGCATGTGTTGAAGTTACTGGCCTTTCCTTGCCATCCTTTAAAGCCAAATCAGTGAGGTATTTCTTGATATATTGTTTCAGTTGTATATTTTCTTTGGCAAGTTTAGCCTTTTCACTTCTAAGGCACATTGTTTGGACCTTGGCCCTGTTAACTTTTAGCAGAAACTTGTCCATTTTTCTAAATTCCTTGTATTCTTCCTGCATATGTAAAACTATTTAACAAAGAAATCTGGATACACCATATAAGTTGTGCAACACTTCTAAATTTAGAATATAGATGTCAATACATATTTATTATATTTAATGGGTAATTTTTGAATAAATATAAAATCTTACTATCATAGCAGCGTCAAGGTTCTCATAATCTTCTGAAATTCCATCACTCTCAATCCCTTCTAGGAGATTATCATCACCATATTCATATTTACTGCATATTTTTGCCATTACATTTACTTTTTGTATCTTTTGAAGCATCTTCTCTAGATACTAAAATTTAAAAAGAGATTTCAAAAAAGTTTATATGTTATTAAAACAGTGGAATACTACTTTATTAGTAGCATTCCACTATAATTTACAAATAATATTTGGATGCTCAAAATTATGTAAGTTGTAGAACTACAAAACTAAGTCTCTTCTTTTTTCTTTTTAAGAAGATAACTAAATAAAAACAATCGTCAAAATGGTTCAGTAGATTAGACACATAACCCAACTAAACAAAAAAAAAAAAATTTTTAGTTAAGGCATTTTTTGCCGCGCACCACCACTATACCTAAACCTATACAAAAAAAGAGTTCCAGGTAGACCTTTTTGTTTTAACATAGGAGAATATATTCACCGTTTTAGCATCAGTGCTAGCATCCACCAAAACTGCTAGCATATCACTCTCCCGACGTCTATTCGTCTTGTTATCTTTCTTCATTTGCCAGTATTTCTTCGCCAAATCCTCTTTATGTTTGTTAAGACGATTCAACTTATAGCTCAGAGAATTTGTCGTTCTAGAGCATTCCTTTTGCAAAGAGAGAAGTATTTCCTGCGTAGTTTTCATTAATTTAGTAGGTACTTAATTGTTTTCATTATGTTTTAGTTTTTAACTGGATATGGAAAAATCGGTTTGTTATAGAAAACAGGCTGAGCATAAATGATAAGTGAAACGGTTACAGAAATGTGTCTGCACTCATCAATTCAGCAGTTACTTTATTATTTTAAGCAATGAATGGTAAATTTTGCCTTTTGAATAAATCAAACGCGAAACTAAGTACAGAAAGTATAAGCCGTACCAACTGGAACTAATGTGAAAAGTAGGGTAACCATATGATTTTTCTTACACCTTCAAGATTTTAATCACCCCTCCCAAACCCTATTCTTGAAAAGCTACACAGTGAAAGCATTTTTGTCTATCACGCTTACTATCCAAGCTTACCGTGGCCTGTTGTATTTGAATGTCATTCCTGAATATATCCCTTTGGTAGAAATCGTCTTTCTCCTGAAGAGATAGATAGTGACTCATAATTGGATTATGTTGTTCCAAGTAACCATTGTAAACATCACGTAATTTGCTCCAATATAAGTCTATTTCTAGTTGCATTGGGCGGCATAAATTTCGCATCTCTTCTTCATGCTAAAATAAAAACGTTTATAAAGATTCTAAATTTAAAAACCATACAGTAGTTGTCCAAAATGTTTAATTTCTTCTTAAGAACTCATCATGGCTTTATACATAAAACACAAGTCAGCGAATTAGTTTCACATCAGCTTCCTGTAATCATGGCGTCAACTATTTCCGCTTTCGGTTAAAATATAAAGGATAACCATGACAGACTAATTGTTTAATAGGTCCATGCAAAGCTAATAACATCATCAAATCCTGAGGCTTGACGAATTTACCGTCAGGCCTAGGTGTTCCAGGTCACTGGAGCGTAATCGTAGACCCATAAATATAAGTAATTCAGAAAGCGAGTGTCATTTTGATATTATTCGCGTTACTGTTACGTTGTTTATTTCAGCAACATGATCCAAAAAATTTCTATATTAATCATATGTTCCTTTCTGTTAGAAATCTATGTAAGTTAAATAAATTTTAATAATCTATCTAATATCTAACTATAATAATATCACTAAATTTAACAAATCAGTTACTTTGCTTGATGTTTTACGAGACAGGTATATTTTAACACCTCTTTATTAACAGAGTCTAAACTGCAGGACAGAGGGTAGTCTGAAAAGTGATGAGTTGAAGAAAATTTATAATAACTGCTTGAAGCAACAAGGGGGGAACAATTATAGCGGTTCCAAAAATTCATCTGAAGACTGGCAAGATCGTGGTTCGGATAGATCGGAAAAAGAAAGGAACAAAAACAAGAGGAATAGAGAAGAAAATAAAAACAGAGAACCAGTTAAAAATTGGATGGATGATAGATCAGACAGATCGGTATACGAAAGTGATGATAATAGACAAAATTATTACACCCAGGGTATGGATGGAAGAAATCAATACAATTACGGAAAATCTCAAAATCAGAATGACAGAAGAATGGATAACAATCATAGAAGGGAAGGGGATTACAGAACTAATGCTAACAATTATCAGCAAAACGATCATAATAGTCAGGACCTTTATCAAAATGATGAATATGAAAGTGTAAGTATAGTTGTTAGTAATAAAAACATAACAGTCAGTTTCAGCAGCTGAAATGTTTTAAATACTAAAGAAGAAGTTGATACCAAACGAATAGAGCTAATTTGCAGTATGATATGTCTTTAATTAATAATTAAATAAGCTGGTTTTTTAACAGGAAACGCAACGCAATATGTACTCGTATCCTAATCACCGTTACAAACGAGATCGATCCGAAAAAAACTCTGGTCAGCGAAGCCAGTACAATCCAAATACTCCAAGATCGGACGACAACCATCGCGAAAGGAACTCAAGTGATTCCAAAGATGGTGGAAAGGCGTGTGCTATGCATTGTTTTCTTGATAACTTACAAATGGTAACTTCAGATCAGTGATTTTAACAGTAACGACTATTATGACTTAATATTTATTACTAACGAAACACACGCACAGAAATCACAAAATAATAATAATAATAAGAAAATAACAAAAATAACAAAAAAAAAGTAATTAAAGGTAAGTACTTTTTAAGTGTAATGTGTGTTTGTAACTGGCCCTGGCTCAGCATTATGCCGTGGAGCAGACGTGTACCACAGCGCTGGTCATTCTGCCAGAGACTACAACAGCTAGTTTGCGCCTCAGACGCAAATAAAGAAAAAGAATGTCATAATAATAATAGTAGAAGAAAAAAAATACTAAAATAAAAGTATGGTTTCATATTATATACTTCGCTACTTCAGCGACTTGACGAAAATTTCCTACTTAATTTTTTGATGACTTGATGAAACTCATGGTAGGCCTTACTGTTGATTAGAATCATGCGGTAGGAAGAGCGGGTACATACAAAACATTTTAAATTTTTTGCCCTTCAGGTTTGTGTTTGTACTTCAGCGCACGAACACTTTTTATTAAGCTAGCAACTGTGTTCATTTAAGGAGGAAAGGAATGCTTAATTTTGTATGTTTCTCAAAATATATTAAGGTTAACGGGAAACTTTTATTAATGTGTCTCTACTGCATATATTTCTGTAGACAGGAGAGAATGGAATGCCGGACCGTTACCTAGCAACCAATGCGATGACCAAAGATGTGAGAAATGAAGATTTAAGGGATTTTCTTCAGGAGTCCATCGAAGAGTGTTTTCAAATTCTCGATAATGGTATGTTTTAAAACAATCAAGGTGAAATATTATGGTTTGCCTAATTTCTTTCACACCGATTTACAAAAAATATTTAAAAAATGTGTGGCACTCGGGGACTGCCGCGGTAAAGCTATTGCATAGCATTTTTATCAACTTATGCAGTTATAATTATTTAATTATGCAGTATTTGTTTTTCTTTGATATTTATTCAAGTTTTTTCTTTGATATTATTTCAATCTACCACTCTACCAGACTCAGACTAAAACGCCTATATAGTCTGTCTCACTCTAACGCGCAACGGCTGAACCGGCCGCGCTCACGCACGTCACCGATCTCGTCAGAGAGAGGGGAATGCGCAGTATGCGTTCTGTCCCACTATAACGCGTATTTGCCGCACCTATAAGGTCATAGCTCATTAGAGCCATCCCGCACCCGACCAGCGCCGCCTCGCCTCGAGCGGTTAGTATTCTTAATATGGACTTCTATGAAGAAGCGCTCATTACATCAACGCCGTGTCGTCACCGGATCGCTTCGCTTGCAATCTGGCCACGCGCGGACGGCGGGTGTACCACTGGGTGACAGCCCGCTGCTCACACGCTTGCCTTACATGGACCGCGCACTGCCCTCGAATGAACCACGCGAGGACGACGCGGTGGCAATGCGTCTTCATTTGTGTTGCGTCTTTGATTTTCTTCTTCAATAAGCGCGACAGCTATGAGTGCCAATTCACGGTTTGTAAAATTTGACATTACGAAAAACACGTGAAGATCTAGTGCCAATGCTAATAGACTACTCGAAAATTCGTGGCCCAAGCGATGTCCACTCGTTGACCACGCGACGTTCATTGGTTGATCTCGCGACGTTCACAAGTAACAACGCGTTGTTCACCCGTGGACCACCTGTCGACAACGAGTTGACACCGATCAACGAGGCGGCGCTGGTCGGGTGCCGGGTGGCTCTAATGAGCTATGACCTATATAATCCCCCCATCCATCTATATATCACCACCGTCATCGTGTGTTAGGTTTTTTCGTTACGGAATTTCTTGATTCGGTCGCAGCGCTCAAAGTCCGCGATAAAATCTATGCAATAGCTTAAATATACATAAGTTTCATTTTTAAAGAATGAATGAAACATGGACAGGTACTGTTTGCTGGTTTACTCACTGTTGGAAGGATATTGTATAAATGTTTGCGTTTCAGAGAATACCGAAGATAAATGTGAGTTTTCTAAAAATTTACTAGTCTGCCTATCAGAAAAGGGAAGAGCCACTTGTGATGATTGGAAAGACGATATACAGTTCAATTAAACTATTGTTAATACTAAACTCACCTAAAATATTTACATTTATAAATAAATGTTCTTTGTAAAAAAAATTTTAAACAAACAATAAAAATGGATTACCATAATTTAATACATTTTATTCTAAATCAAATTTTCCAGACTTTCCCGTCCTTTACACCGTATATTCACAAATTATCAAAAGATTTTAAATTGTTTGTTTGTTTTCTTTGAAATTAACAATGTTTTTTTGGAGTAAATGTATAAATATTATTGAATAACTGTTTTGTCTGAACCAGATTTTTTTAATTAGACCTACCTCCAACCGTGCGTCGTTCTTTATGGTCGCTCTTTCAATGTCTTTCTCATTTTTATAAGATTTAAAGTCTCTCTCTTGTATAAAGGTTATTAACATAAGCTTGAATTCGGATTTGTCCTCGCTGTCAGTGATTTCCATCTCTTCCTTATCCCACATTTCTAAGAAACCGTTTTTCTGGTGCTCATAGGCTGCTTGTAATTTGTCTAATCTCTGCGTGCCTATTCCTATGGAATTATAATTATTGGAATAAATTGACAGAGCATGACCATGCCTTCCTAATTTAGTCTTGTGTCTACCCCTAATGTATTAATTTATTTACCAGTGTATGTATATTTTAAAGATAATTTTTATAATATTATGTACTAACCAAGACAATTTACTAATAATTTATTGCTTAAGGTATGTATATGTAGGGGTGTGTAATGTGTAAGTGTGTGCGTTTCAATATGATCTTAAAAATCAATTGTATTTGCTTATCTCCTTCGAAAAGACGTGGTTGGAGATAATAATATGCAATAAATCGATTAAGTATCAGATTACCAATTTCATGTAATTTAACCCTTGATATGCCAATGCATACATGTCTTTGTTATAATATTGCTACTTAAAATATTGAAATATGCAGTTAAGTATAACGAAAGGTCCGAATTTATTGTAAAAAAATAATCTCCATTACATTTTTATAGGAATAGAAATTTATAAATGCATTAAATCGCTTTTCAAGCAAAAGTAAAACCAGTTTATATAGCTCTTTCACCTACTTAGAAAATAGCTCAAATTTTCTGTGTGAGCCTGAAAAGCTCGCCTGTGCTGTTCATCGGAATCTTCGATCGCCCTTGTCAGTGATTCAATGAGTCGGTTCTTTCTTTCCATCAGGAAATTAAAACTGGCTGCCATCCCCTAAGATTTTATATTATTTTTTAAAACCTTTGGCAAAAAGCTATAGTGTATAATCGTTAAGGTAAACTAAACCCTGCGGTCGTAGGCTCGAACCCTGGCACCTACGGTGGAGGAAAATATGATGAGGAAACCGACATGCCTTGATCCAAAAAGTCGACGGCGTGTTAAAGAAGATTAGACCTACTTGCCTATTAGAAAAACCTATTATTACGAAACATATATAGAAAAACCCAGACCTTAAAGGCTCAAGCATTACTGTTTTTTTTAATAATGTTTTTTTTTTTAAATATTTTTTTATCTTACTTTTATTTCTCGCTTTTAATATGTCTTTGTAGAATATTTTGATCTTAAACTTTGATATAGAATTAATCATACAAACCTGAATATCTGTTTCCATTTGCCGGCATTTTATTCTTCGGAGTATGTAGCGCCATTCTTGGTTTATCTTAGCTGTATTTATTTTGCTATATGATTCCTCTTTGTCTAATTTATTCTAAAAAGACAGAATATTATAACTAATTATTTGTATATTTATCCCTTTTAAACTAGTTCTTCATAATAAAACGACTTACTTTAATAAACCGGGCAATTAACTCATGTTTTCTCCTCCTCGCTTCTTCTTCTACGTCAGCTCTATGCTGCAGATACCTTGCCCGTTCTTCGTCAGACATACGCGCTAACTTATTAACTTTACTTTTTTTGGGCATATTGAATCTTTGAAACCTGTTATATACTAGTAATTCAAAATATACAATTTATTCAAAACGTTTGCTATATATTAATAATTCTAATATTTAATTAAGGAAACATCTCCTAATTCTAAACACAACAAGTAGATAACTGAAAATATTGAACAAACATTTCATAGCAACAAGTGTTTTGAAGAAACGCGAGAATTGTTACAACAGGATACATTTTTTTTAAAGACAATTCACACCAATTGACCTAGTCCCATGCTAAGCTGGTGAAGCTTGTGTTATGGGTACTAGGCAACGGATATACATACATATTATAGATAGATAGAAATATAAATACATATTTGAACACCCAAGACCTAAGCACAACACCAAATGCTCATCACATCGATGTTCGTGAGCCGGGGATCGAACCCGGGACCCATGGATTCGCAGTCAGGGGTACTAACCACTAGACCAATTGATTGAATTAGACTAGTTGGAACTAATTTTCTTACCTTTTTAAAGCTTTATTTTATTTCCTGAGACAGTTATACAAACTAGGTATATACAGCATATTCTTAATAAATCGAATGTTAATTATATCTAATTATCATACGAGTTACTAAAAATCTTTTTTTAGTTATTATGTATTAGGAGCCCTCTAAAGCGGTAAAGACTTTCCTCCAAGGCTTTCCATCTTTATTTATTATGAAGCCCACCCATATAGGCATGGCCGCGGCGTTTGTCCAGTAAAGCAGAGAATGAGTTTTTATTTCTATTGTATTTCCCGGGCCTTGGACTTCCGATACGACAGTGGTATCACAAATAAAACAAAGCTCAGTGTGTATGTGAATGTTATTATCACTGTTTGGATAGTTAGATAGTTTTTGAAGTGAAACTTCTAATGCGACTTTTAACAAGTTTGCGTTAAACGTTTAATGCTCCTGGGGAGGGGGAATAGAAAGAGACAGAGCGAGAGTGAATGCTTCCTATTTTCATTTCCACATTACAAAGTTTCACTTCCGCGCGGAGGGACTCCACGCACTATTTTTTGATTTTGTATACACTTTGGGCGTACGTTTCGTACACTAACACTTTATTAACGATTTATATCCACATAACTTCCTGTTACACACACCACAGAGCCACTGTTGACTGCGGCCCAGCGCCACCTACCCTCCATAAAATATATTATAGTATAGTCAAAATATTGGTTTTGGATAGAATTAACCATTTATATTTATGAGATATATATATTTTGTTCATTTAATAATAATAAGACCCAGGTTATGATTTTTCTCTCTTGTATACATAGATACGCCCTTGTTCATAAAAACTAAATTAGTCTAATTTCAATCATTTGACTATATGGTTGACTCTTTCTGTCAAATTGTGTTGAACAGACCCCAATTAGTAGGTCATTGGTTACTGTAGTTTAATAGGTCTCAGTGTGTAGTGTTCACAACTATTTTTGCGTTCAATCTAGGTACGCAATTTGCCGCGTTACGCGCGCCGACTATACTAATAATAATATATTATAATAATAATAAAAGCCCTTTATTCACTGACCATTTTAACTTACATGCTATTCTTATTTAACAGTAGCATTCTTAGATCTAATTTACACATAGACATAGGCCTCCCCCAATCGTTTCCACATCTCTCTATCCTTGGCAGACCTTCTCCATCCTTTTGGCAGATCGTCCTCCCATCTTTTAACTTGACTAACTTTTAACCTCCTCGTTTTCTTTTTTTATTTCGACTATACTACGAACACACGAACACTGTACTATAGTACAGTACTGGGGACGGAGTCTAACTGGGCCTTTGTTAATTGATTGATTGCACTGATTTAGTTTTTATGAATAAAGGGGCTAAGTATTAAACAATGGAAATTTAACATAATACCTTTCTTCAAAGGTGAACTTTCTTCCACAGACTTATCCATTTATTGTAACCATGGCAACGAATCTGTTTATTGACAAAACCGATTGTTGAAGTTTGTTTTAAATGAAATATATGCAATGCCTAATTAAATAATGGAGACACAGTCGTCAGGCACTCTTCAATCACCATCTACGTTTTCGGAGAGTTCAAAAACCGGTAGTAGCCGATCTGTAGGAAGCGCGAAAGATGAACCTGATTTTACAAAGGATAATTGTGAGTTCTGTATTGCTTACTATAATTAAATTGAATTATTAACAAACATGTTACTAGTTTGGTTGAATTCCCTCAACCTAGTAGAACCTCAATAGAACAGGGACCAATTTCTAACTTCCATATATATTATCATACTAATCATGAAGTGGAAACAGGGATGATGGTTCACAATTGGGGAAGCCATCAGCCCGCTCGACTTATGAACGTCCAAGGAACATAGAGTTTAGCGGATAGCACGTTGCCAGAATATGATTTCCTCCCTGTAGGACGCGAAGAGACAGCCCAAAAGGTCGGCTTTCTCCTTCGCGGTATGGGCTAGCGAGTCCTTCCTGTACAGGGGTGGAACGGAGGGGTGACAGAAATTCCTTTATGTATCACATTTCCGTGTCTGTTAATCTATTTTTTAATACCCTGGCCCTCGGTGCCTACTGACGCAAATACTATATCATAAATAGTGGAATTCGGGGCCAAGTACCTTTCGTTTTTAAGCAAAGGAACTTAGAGCCATGTTACAATCTTTTCTCTCCAATTAGCAGAGAAGTCATTAATAATAACGATGTTTACAGCTGCATCTCCAATTGATTTGGAGTGCCACATCCAAGCGGAGCGCATCACAAAAATTTTAGATGAAACAATTTACAAAACGAAGATGGCGCTTTGTCTGCCACACCTAGTCCAGGAGTATAAAACCCTGAGCTCGATACTATCCAACCAACACATGGAAGATTTGGTGTTCATTTTCGAACAGTATGATAATCCACTGTTTTCTACTAGTCTACTTAATTTGGATGCGTTGGAAGATATCAAAGCTGTGTGTATACTGAGAATTCTTTATTGTTTTTACTAAGTGGGTAGTTGTAAGAGTCGTGAAAATGTAGGCATAGAATTGTGCCAGAGTCCATCGCAATGGTAAAATGTCACGGTAACAAAAATGTGCGTACACATGTCAGAAGTGAAACTTCTTTGGCAAATTTTTAACTCTTGCTCATATTTATACAAATCTAAAACTTTAGATTTTCGAGACTTAGAGGGAGGAAAAAAGGAATTTTATATAGTTTAATACAAATTATAAATTTATTTCTTCGATAATAAAAACACGTGACATTTTAATTTACAATTCGTCATTTGAGATTTCAATAAATTATTTTGAATAAAATATAAAATACTTATATTTCATAAATTCTCTTTACGAAATTTTAATTTTAAAAATAGAATTTATAAGGTAATTCACGCTTCTCACTCTCTCTCAATCGGTCTCAATCGCTCTCTCCCTTTTCTTCAACAAAAACGCTGCACTTTGTGACGTTCCGTAAAAATTTTACCTTCATGCGCCTAAAGAAGTTTCACTTCAATAATGTAACCTTTTCCAGGGTGATGTATCGCTGAAGAACCGGTTAAATCCTGAATTGGGTCACCTTGTCTACATATTAAACAGCTACCCTCATCTGAAGCCGAAAGTCGAAGAAATGATTACAGAAGTTTGTATTTAATTAAATTTTTGATGAAAATGTTGAAACGGTGACACGTTCTGTAGGAAACCACCTCAGTTTTAAGGCTCTTGCTCACTCGACCCAAAATATTTTTAGAATAAAAGAATCAGCTCGTTAAGTAGAAATTAACCACCAAATCACATTTAGTCCTTCCTTCTAATATTTTCAATATAAAATTCCAGATGAAAGAAGAATATTCTGCATATGATGAAGTAAGTTTTTTTATTTATATTAAGAGAAAAATCTATTAAAGGTCGTTTTTTGCAATAAAATATTATCAGACCTACCTGGTATTTTCCAAAATTCAATTAAAGCCACTGGTTCCTATTAATATTCATTTCAGTCAAGAAGAAGATTTCCAGGTTTAGAGTATTTGTTGACGTTGGAACATTTTCGTGACTTGATGATAAAGCAGATGGACACTACAGCAGCAGAAGAGTTGGCTGCAAAATTGAATACTAGGAAACTAGAGGGCTCCAACGAGAGGCTTATGGAAAAAATTAAAGGTTAGAAAACATTTTGGGTTGAGATTTCTTGACCTGCAGTTTGTGCGGATAACTTTTATTTAGATTTACTTTAGTAAATTATTCTAAATATAATAAAAAATATATAATAGTTGCTTTCCTAGCTAGGGTTAATAAAAATTGCCTTCATAATTCTTCAGGTAACCGGAATTGAATAAAAATCAAAACTACTTTTGAGGAATAAATAAAGACTTTTATCTAAAAATTATTTTCAGAATATACGCAGGATCTTAAAGAAGAAAATGAACGCTTTGAAGAAACAATGAGGATGAAGACAGATCTCATCGCGAGATTAGAGCAAGAGATTGCGATTTTGAACCGTGACGCTGAAATAAGACTTAAAAAGAAAATGTAAGCTCCAAGGGTTTAAACTAAAAAATTAATTAATTCAGGGTAGACTTTGTTTCTCTTTCTTGTCTATCTTTCTGTCCATATCAAGTACAATCCGAAAGAATTATGGTTTTTCTGGTAATCAAGTCCATGACATCGTTATTCTATACGCTTTAGCTATTAAGTCAAGATGTTTTTGTCTATATAATAAAAGAAAAGCTTGACAATTGCTGTGCCTTTAGAGCTATCAAATTTCGTTATAATCTATGTAATATAATGAACGCTGTTTGTGGTCACGTATTTCGTGGAATAAGTCTCTACGTCTTTCTATATAATGGCGAGCACACTTATTAGCTGTATATACGTAAATGATAATTGTCTGTGCAATAAAAAGTGCAAATAATAATTGTCTGTACCTTCCAAAAGCGATACTGATATTTAGTTTTTCTATGCAAATTCTTTGCTTGGGATCGGAATCCTTGGAAATTGCTTTTGGAAGTTACAAAGACTTACATAAGAACTTATAATGTGGACATTCAAGTCTTAACACACAAGTTTTAAAGGCTCGTATTACAGACTAGATTCAGATCGGCAAATGGTGTTAGCGACTCGTGCGCATCTCGTAAAGAATGAAATGTTGAAAGAGGAAGAGGTCGAGTGTCGAGAATTGTATGAGAATATATTAAGGAAACATCTTATCGATGAGAAGAATCAACGGGCTCGAAGGTAAGGTTTAATACATTTTGTTTACCGAAGACTTTTTATTTATTTATTGGTTTGGCAATTGTATAAAACTTAAAAAGAGAAAAAGAAAGAAGACATTAATAGCCACATTTACTATATGGTTTTCCTTATTATTTGGAATACTTTTGAATTTTGAATTTAATAAAGTTAAACGATATGAAATACAAATAAATTAAAAATGGTTTGTCAGGTTTAAAGTGGAGACACAATTACTATCATGGCTACAGAAGTATGATCTAGAAATGGCGGATAAGCAGGTGGAACTCGATGAGTTCACAACCAAGTATGAAGACGAAGTCCAGAAGTGTGATGAGCTCGAAGTAAGTTTTATAATATTGAATTAATACCTTATAGTTAGATTGTATATTAAACAAAGCGGCATCGGACTTGAAAGTAAAATAGCAATTATATTATTTTTATACTGAGTATCAATATCAAATTAAGATGTGTTGAAAAACGCAACGTCAGAACTAAAAAGGAATAGTTAAAAATAATTTTAATCTTGTAAATACATTCTCTTAATGGTTATTAATATCATCTTTACTATTAATACGTTCTTGGGGAGTAAAACGGTCCATGTTTATTTTCAGTGTATTTTACAGGAAATGTCATACAAAAAAAAAAATCGCACTTTTGCGCCACCCAGTATATTGTACTTATTTACGCATAAAAATAATAGTACTTTCCTAATTTTGTTAACAAAAATTATTTGAACCATTACAGTTAAAACTAGCGGAACAGGACAAAGAATATGTACCCCTGATGGCTGAAAGAGAAGAGGAATACCACCAGGAGCTGACGGAGAAGATGAACAAGTTCCTATTGGAGCACGCCGCTAGAGTCATACAATGTGCTTGGAGAGATGTGCTTGCGAATAGAGCGGAGAAGAAACGGGTATTTTTAGTAGTTTAATATTAACTCTTTGACGAATTTAAAACTGCTGCTGAAGTTCAGGAAGGACTCCATTAATTTTTAACGAATCTTTTCTTGTTTTATGCAGCTCAAAGGGAAGGGAAAGAAAGCCAAGAAAAAATCCTAGTCCTGATTTTCCTTTCTCCCTGAATTACTACTAGATACATTTTAGTACATACGTCTATTTCAAGTTTAAATTTCAAACAAGGAAATTTACTATAGTCAAGTAGTTTTTAATAAAACTTAAGAGAATAAGAATTAACGAAACTGCTATTCGAATGATCCTTTTAGTTACTAATACATCCATGGAGAACTGCTCAAAATAAAAAACCTCCACTTTTTTATACTTCACATAAGAGATCATTTCCCACCTTCCTAATTTTTTACCATCCATTTCCTTTTAACCCTTAGCTGAAGAAGCTGCAGAAGAAAATGCAAGCAGCTCAAGCCGCCGCCGAGGCAGCCGAGAAGAAAAAGGGAAAGAAATAATACTCTTTGTGTTTTAGTTTATTTAAATAACTTATTTACTAAAATATATTTTGTTTGTAAACTGATTTTTACTATAAAATTCCTTGTATTTTCGCTGCACGATTTTAAGTACTTTTTATAAAATGTAAAAGCTTTTAAAAATAAAAACAGTTATTAACTCAGCTTAATCAAAAGCGAGCATGTAAAACAAAAGACGCAACGATGGCGCATTTCAATTAATGTCAATTTATCGTAATTATAAAATACTTGGCGATTAAAAATATTGGCGCAGTATTATTTATATATTTATAAAAGCTTGCCAACCGCTCGGCACACTCATACTTTGGTACAAGAAAAATAAAATACAATAATTAATGTGACAAGCACATATTAGCAAACATAACATACAGGAAGAAATAAAAAAATGGTTATAAAAACTAAAGGAAAAGGAAAATCGATTTCTTTATGAGGGGGAGCAGCTATGAATGGGCCAGCGTTCTATCGGTCTTGAATTTGATAACTGGCAGTAAATCAGTCTATTAAAAAACGACTCGTTTAGTCGTTATTTATAAACGTTTTTGGTCGTTAACTGTTGGCCAATCACAAACAAACGAATTGCGTCATCGTTTTGTCGTTCGTTTTACATTATTGCTGTCTTGGTCTATCATAGCTAAAACAATGTGACAGAAAGAGACGATTATATATGATGATTCATAATATAAGTTTAGTAGTATTTAAATATGGACAAATATAAGATATCTAATAATAGTGCTGTCTCTTACTTTTTCTATTGTTTAAAGAGAGAATGAATGAAGATGAAATGTTTAGACGAAGGGCAACGATTTATCGTAAATATAAATTTTATATAAATGTGTGATATGATTTGGCTTTAAATCAAAATATCGAAAAATTACAACCACAATGATTTTATGATTACAATAAATAAGTAATGAAAGAAATTAAAACCGTTTAATTTTTTTAGTACTCACTCCAGAATTGTATATTTTCTTAATTTTCCCTTACACATGAAATCTATAGATTCTATCTCATATAAGAGAGGAAAAGATATATATTCAAATCGTTGATTACATATTATCATTATTATCGAGGACTTTCAAATGTCTAATAGCCCTGACATCGATCAGAGTGTCTGAAGAGCTTTTGGTGGTGGGAACGAAGGAGATGGCCCGTCTGGCTCGCTCACCGTTCCGTAGAACTGGGTTCAAATCCTGCAATAAAAATATATTATAACACAAAGTTAAACCCGGAAATTTATAGCTAGATTAAAGAAAATATTTTATTCTATATTATTATATTAATATTAAAAACTTTTATATTAATCAAATTATACATTATAATTTAATTACAATATTTATTAAATGAATCAATTTCTTTCTCTCTAGCAGGTTTAACCCCATATATTCTTGATACAATAGCCGATTACTATTTATGCTTTCGTTTCGTAAATTTTATTTAAGGTTTTTGTTAAAAAATATTTAACTTTTTTTGTTTAACTTGCAAGCTTCAGATCTATATGATTTTTTTAAAAAGGGTATGTCAAATTTCAGAATGTTATTTACATAAAAACATTGCCTATATTCGATTACTATATAGTATGAATTACGTTAAGTATTACGTTATTATATTTAATATTAGTACACGACCTCCGACGGAGTGAGGGCCTCTGTTCTATGTAGAAAAAATGGTTGTGTGGATGAAGTGTATAATCCTGGGTTCGAGTCTCAGCTTAATATTTGTTTTTGTAATTGTTGTTTTTTTTAATTCATGCGTTTACTTGAATTTCAGAAATATTACTGTTTAAAGATAAAAATGAATAAAATGGACTCAAAAGTAAAAATCTGTCAATATTTTAAACACAAACCCTGAGTTGCACGTGAATCGCATTAGCGTTGAGTTCAGTCTTCTGTATCTTCTCCTGAGCTGCGCGCAACTCTTCATCCAACTTCTGCTTCTCGTCTTCCAACTCTTTAAGACGACGCTCTGCCTCTAAACGGAGAAATAAATAATCTTATAGCGTTATTATATTTCTTATCTGACTGAAGGCTGTTTTTGTTTCACCACCACTTTGCGGAACCAGCTGCCCAATTAAGTTTTTTAAAAGAGTATCGAGAGTTTTTTACGCCGGCTTTTTCTCTCGGCCTACACCCTCTGTCTTCTTTGCCGATGAGTAGGGATGCCTACAAATTCAAATTTAATGACGTGGAATAAGTGATACATGTATCTTATATTCCATAATAAACATATTTTATTTTATTTTATTTTAAGTATTTCCGAACCAATTCGACTTAGGGTCCTTCAAGAAAAGAGCGTACCAATTCTTAAAAGGCCGGCAACGGACTCGCGAGCTCTCTGGCATTGAGAGTGTTTATTAAGAAACGAGTAGGTAGTAAGTAGTCAGGTCCAGTAATCTGACAGAATGGTCTACAGGGAATGCGTGGTAGACCACATAAGAGATGAGAAAACATATCCACTAACATGATGGAAAATGTATGACGGCGCGTGCGCAATTAAAACCAGTGGCAACTTTCTTTTAGCTCTGCGACACAGATTTCTGTATCTGTTTTATTTGTCAATCTAATAGGTGATCAGCTTCCTATGCCTGACACTCCGTCGACTTTTTTGGCAAGCAGGTTTCGTTCAAGCGAATGTTACATTGGTGTTCAGGTGGGGATCGAACCTTCGACCCAAGGGGATGAGAGTAGTACGCTGAAGCCACTAGGCCAATGCTCACGCCCGCGCAATTAAGGAATAGAGAAGAGGGGGAGAGGACTATGCCACAAGTGGCAAGTGGATGAGGAGCTGCCCTGCGATTCTGTAACTCACTTTTCGAACTCACACAGCGGTTTTCGCATCGGCGGGGCCATTTTATGATTTGGCATTCTGATAAACAATAAACTACAAGCTCCCACCTTTTCAGAATGCCAAATCATAAAATGACTGCTTCACGACTGATTTGAGAGCGACCGCCGATGCGAAAACCGCTGTGTGAGTTCGAAAAGTGAGTTACAGAATCGCAGGGCTGGGCTTAGGTTATTATATCTAAATATAATATATATTATATCTAACAATAATATAATATCTAAATATAATATCATTAGTATTTAATTCAATTGTAAATACTTAATATCTGAATAAATTATTATTAAAGTTAAAGTTACCTCTGTACTGTGCTTCCTTTTCTGCCTGTAACATTTCAAACTGTTTCCTTTTAAGTCTCTCCTCTTCTAACATTCTATTTTGCTCTTCTTGAAGCCTTTCCAGTTCTTCTCTTCTCTCCCATTCTTCAGCTAGGACCCTAAGTTTTAAATACATTGAGAGTCTTTAGTAGAGTTATAGATTCGATAAAATTTTGTTATGTCCATTAAATATGTATTTGGTTTAACATAAAATAAGCTGTCCGTCTGTTGCAAGACACATTTTGGGTTGCAGATAGCGGAATTACAGTGTGTGTTTACAAACTAAGTTTCTCGAGTTAGTCGTAGTTTTTAAGTTTGTCATGCGATGGCATTGTCAGACATTCACAACACATGAAAATACACACACACAAATTCATGAAATTATTCACAATTTTATGAACAAGTTTTTAAGTTAGGCTACAAAACCATCTGATATGTTTGTAAGCCAGGGTCTAATTGGAAATATACTAATTAAACGAAAAGTTAGACTTAAATTACTCTTAAGTTAGGCCAGATCGTAATTTTCCATGATGTCTTAGTTAAGAAAGACACAAGTGTTAATATAAAAGATAGTTAAGTAAAGTTGTAAAGTAACCATTCATTAGTATAGTATATATATTTTAGTTAATAATAATTAAAGCGTAAACAAAATGTAAACAATCATCGCACACTTGAGGCCAATGTGAGCCCTTTAGTTTTTATTACAATTATAATTATTAATAGCAATTTTACATTCTCGTTTCCGAAATTGACCAATAACATAAGTGTTAGTTAAATTTATGAACCCTTAGATAAGCCAAGTTTATTTTTATTAGCGTCACAACCCCTCTGCCTCTAATTTTGTGTTATTATATTTTAAACCATTAAAATCAGTTATCACCCAGCTTCAAACAAAGAGTTTTATTTAAACATTTCCATACAAAAGCCACCGAACTTAACTCAAACGATAAGTAATTTATATGTTAATACGGTACAGACCCCAGAATATAAACCCCCTTATGTTGTGGAAGATAACAAACCTCGCTTGCAAAGCCCTAACGATTTCTTCATCTCTTTTCGCCTGCGTCTCTTCTTGAAGGAGTTTCTCCAGCTCTACTTGAGCGTGCTTTAATTCTTCTAATTTCTTGTTGTCCTTTTGTGCTAATTCTACTAATTCCTGTAATCGATATTTTTAATAAAACACCAGCCAAAATGTATAAATTATATCTCAGCAACGATCTCAGAAGAAGAAAGAAGAAAGTTTCTACTTAAAGTAACTCGTAAGTATTTTGTATCGGTTTTGTCAGCCCAACATTTAAGCCTTGACTGGTTTAAGCTATCGCAGAATATGTTTAAAAGGAGTAGGTATTAAGAATATCCATAGCGCTGAATCACCTGCATCATGAGCACACCCCACATACATACCCTCACTTTTACACCATCACACAACACATTATGTATTATAACGAATTAGGTATTATTTAGTTAAATGTATTTAATTAATAAAAAAATATTTTTGAAGTTATACTTCTTTAGGCGCGTTATGAAAAATTGATGAGAGTGAAATTTTACGATGCGCGCGCACCTGAGACACAAAGTTGTCAGTGTGATTATAGCGTGCGCGAGCGAGATGGGAATAAGACAATCTACAAGTAAAAAGAAATAGAATATGCGTGAAGTTAGCAGCTATGCCAAGAATTTTGAATGACCATAATGACATTTACCTTTTAAATATTCAATTTAAATCACTTCTGATTATAATTCAAATTGAATATTTAAATCAATATTCAATACTAATTAATATCAGAAAATATTTGTGAAATAACTGTGCTCATCAACCTTCCT